CACACGTGTGTGTCCTTCCCAGTCTCGGCAGTTCTGAGAGTGATCAGGCTCAGCGAAGGCTGCTTTTGTTGCTGTGGCTTTCTCTGCAGATCAGAAAGTAAGGAACCAGCGTGAATGTGATCCTTCGCTGTCACGTGACAGGCAGAGCTTGGGCTAGAGGCAGCTCTTCTTTCTATGGTCCTATGCTGCAGCCTCACCAGGTTAGGGGTGGCTGCCTGAGGATGAATCTGAAATGTAATCCATCACAGGGGTCGGAGAATAAAGAGATGTTTGCCGCTTCCTCTTGGGGAAGGCCAGAAAAGCCATATACTCTGTGCAGCCCTAGGTCCTAGGTGTTCAGATGTCACACTGTAGACATGCACATCTTGACTTGGGAAGCACTGTTTTTGTCTAGACCTGCTTCCTCGAGGGGTGCAGCTCCTGGGGTGACAGCATGGTGAGTCAGAGTTCACAGGCAGATGACTGTCCTCGGGATGCTCACACCCACCTGCTGCTTCACATGGTTTATCCTTGAGCCTGTGACTGACATTGGCCAGCATGGTCACCTGTGCACATTCTGGTGTCCCCAGTGTAAATGCACAAAGGCAGCCGGCCTGGGTGGGCACAGATTGTATACTGTTTGCATTGCCTTCATAAAGCAAAAGTTCTGTGCATCTTTATGAATGTGTGGCCTCCTGAATTCTTATCAAACATACGTTTATGAGTGAATTTTTGCATGTAATTTACAAAATGGTGACCGTGAAATGAACTTAAAATCATATCAGCATGGTCGTGTTTAGCACCCAGAATGTCACAGGATACCTGGGAAGGACAGAACCAGTGCATCCTTCCTTTTCTGAAGACCTTTGGGAGGCTATTAGAGCAGGCTATAAATCATCCCTGTAAAGATGGGGGAGGGGCAGAGGGAGGAGGGGCACATGGAGTGAGAGAGATGGAGGGGATGGGGGTGGTCATGATAGGACTAAGGCCTGAAAGGCTTTTGTATCTTGCATCTTGGCTGTGACAGGCACAGGCAGTGATCCTCAGACACACCCTGTGGTGCTCTGCCTGTCTTTCCAGCAAACCTGACGTTCCAGAGACCTTACCTCATGCTTCAAAGCTCAGACTCTGACCTGCCGTGCTGTTTTTCTCATAACACAGTGAATCTGCGTGTGTAAGGTTTCTTTCATTAACCTAGGCAGCCTCGTCACAGTTGAACAGAGGCACAGCCTAAGGTTTTGTGTCAGTGAAGTGTGACATGTGGACATTCCCATAGAGGTGCTCTGGGCCTTCCTTTGTCTTTACATCTGTATAGCTCAGTAGTCTGCTTGCAGCAATCCGCAGCACAGCCAGCAGTCACCCCCAGAGTGCCAGAGTGGGCATGTGCTTCTAATGAGCACTGGCCTTCCGAGCTGGGCTTGCACGTGGCTCTGCCCCTTGGCAGCCCAGACCATGTGGAGATGAGCTTGCAGGAGGGAAGTTGAGTTCCAGAGATTTCCGGCATAGGGAGGCTAAGACCTTTGCCTTCATTGTCTGTCTGAAGCAGGTGGGAGCAGCCCTGCTCTCGCTTTACAGAGCTCAGTCTCTTTCAGACTGTATGGTAGGGAAATATTTTTAACGTATGTAAATTCTGAAGATGTCTTTGTGGAAGGCTGTTAGTGGTGGCAGATCTTGTTTTTAATGCTGCAGTTTAATAATGAGGGACTTTTCCATTAATATTCCAAACCATGTCTGCAGCACATACAGCAGGTGAAGTGATAGAATTATGGGCCCATCAAAAATACTTAGGCTTCCTGTAATATGACATTAAGTTTAGTATTTGTGTAACCTCTGTGAATTCTAATCCCATGACGTGGGGAGCGCTTTCCTTTGCAGTGCAGTTATCCCCATTGCCTGCCCCGTGCCAAGCGCATTAGACATGAAAAGTGTCTGTGGGGGTGTGGATAGAGTCGTTAAAGACCCCATTCCCTTTACTCTGTGTGCCTCGGGGCTGGAGATGGCTGAAAACCAAACATGGGTCTCCCAGTATCTGAATCTCTATTTTAAACTGAAATTCGGAGCACAGAGGGGCAGTGTTGGTTTCTGACAGCCCCCTCAGGACTCTTTTTTTTTTTTTTTAAATCACATTTAAACCATAAAGTTCTTCCAGTAACAGAAAGAATATCAGCATCTCCTGGGATGGAGATGTTGGTCAATTAATGTAATTGGACAATATTGGAATTGATTATTAATCCGTTTAGGATGGTGCTGGCTTGGGTGGATGTTGCTGTTTACTGGCATTGGACTAGCCAGCTGTGGGCTGCAGCATTCAGGTGCTGAACCCCAGGGTAAAAGTGCTTCCAGCCTGCTGACAAAGAAGCCTGCATGCATCTTGCAGAGTGCATAGAGAGACTGCCGTGGGGCTTTAACATAGCATCCTTCCTCGGATCCGATCATTGCTTTGGAAGGCTCTGATAAGTGCAGACTTTTAACTAGAAGTCTTCACTACCCTGAGATAAGAACCGGCTGCTTAAGATAAATCCCTAATCTTTTCACCAGATTAGATTATGGCTTAAAATATTTTACCAACAAGAATTCAGCTTAATTGTCCTTAAAGCCTTTTGAAGCTTGCCTTAGGATGCAGGTTTCTTAGGAAGACTGTCCCCATACAAAATGAATATGATCAAAGGGCAGGACCCATAACACTGGGTAGGGGATCCTTAGCTGGAAGGTACCTTTTGCCTCTACAAGGTGATTCAGGAGTGACGTGGTCAGTGCTCCCCAGGCTGGTCCTCTGGCTCCCCTGGGAGTCCCATCCTGCTCTTTCTAATCTCACTACTCCATTCTGGTCTCCAGCTCACTGCAGAAAGCAGGGAGAAGGCTCGAGAGCAGCAAGAGTACTTGGCAGACTGGTCGTGAGCACTCAGAGCAGGTGGAATAGACGTTGCCAGGTATAGGAAGTCCGTCCCCTGGGCATAGGACACACTGGTCTCTGTGTTTCAGATGGTCAGTCTTCAGAGGCTTTGCTCACAGGTCTTACTGAGGAGGCGATGGAGGTGATGGGGTGCGCAGTTATACTGGGAAGCCCAAAGAGAGGCCAGGCTGAGCCCTGCTGTTATTTACAGCACAGGAAGTCAGTTGAGAAAGCCTTCATAATGAGGACTGAATGAACCTTGGCGTTTGGCCCGAACAGCCTGTTGCATGCCTTCTTTCTATTGATCCTGAAGGAAGGGTGAAGTGTGTGCCCTGTGGCCTCTGCACAGCCAAGTGGAGCAGGCTGCCAGGTACTCGCTACCTGAGCTGAGAGGCCCACAGTGCACGCAGAGTCAGAACGGCAGCACTCTCATAACCAGGTGAAATTAATTACTCATCTGCTAGACCTGAGGCCCAGGAAAGTAGTCTTGGGGTCAGCGTTTTGAGACCCCTGAAGGAAATAGCGAACTTACTCAGGGTGAGGGTGAGGGTCAGCTGCAGTGTCATCCCTTTGTTTCAGGTGAGTAGTCCATCTTTTGCAGCCTTGCTGATCCCCTTTGGCCAATAAGAAGCTCACGTTGGGTTTTGGTTGTTTACAAAAGGAGCAGTGGTGCGTCATTCATAAGTGCAGTTTGGTCTGTGGATCGTAGTCTTCAGCTGAGTGGACTGTGGAGGAGGGAGCGTGACGAGAAGAGACGCAGGAAAGAGGGAGCCCCTTGGGGAGGGCAGGGAATCTCTTCCCTTGAACATTTTTTTTAATTATTATTATCATTAATTATTGTTCTTGTTTTGGTTTTTTTCAAGACAGGGTTTCTCTGCATAGCCCTGACTGTCCTGGGACTCTCTGTAGACCAGGTTGGCCTCAAACTCACAGTTAGTTACTCTGCTTCCCAATTACTGGTATTAAAGGCGTGTGCCACCACCACTGAACTCCCTCGATCATTTCTAAAGGGAGTGTGATGTAGGGTGCTTTGAAGTTAGGAGGGGAAGAGGGTCCACACCACCAGCCAGTGGGGTGTCCTAACATCTGAGTAAGTTCCATGAACACCCAATTGTCAATTCAGTTGAACTAGAGGAGGCAAGTTGGCAAGAGGGTACACATGGGGTCTGTAGAAAGTGGCGGCAGTGAGTGAGCTTCCCTTGGCAGGAACAGGCATGGCACCTTCCAGCAATGCCTTTGACTTTCAGAAACGAGTACAGCCCAGTTCCCCAGGAACAGGTTCTCAGTGGGACCCCCTCCAGCAGATTCTCTTTAATTGGCTCCTTTGCAATTCTGGTACATGCTATAGTTGGATGATCTTTCTTTGAAGGGCGTGCTAGGGTCTGAGTATGAGAGGGGCTTCGTAGGGATGAGGGGAGGTTTGGGGGTTGGTGGGGAGCATCTCAAGGTATAAGACTGCATGCCTGCAGGTCCAGAAGCAGGTCTGCCAGCCTGGAAAGACCGGGGTGTGAGGGAGGAGGCCCAGAGGGTATGAGGAACTCAGCTGGCTGTCTTCTGCTTGGGCAGTAGCTGCTGTTACAGGAAGTTGTGATCTGAGTGCTGTAGGGGCTTGTGGCGTGTCCTCCCTGGGTCTAGAAGGTGGGAAAGTACGGGCTAGTCTGATGGGAAAGAAACAGGGAGAAAGTTGGCAGAGCCTCTGGTTGGGAGGATGTGAGTGAGTGAGTGGGGGTCACAGCTGGGGTTGTGGCTTGTTGAACATGGAGACGTTTCTAGGTGAGAATTGGGGCAGAGCAGTGTTCCTCTTTAGAACCTTTATTCGCCCCCTCCCACTGTGGTGCAGATGAAAGTGGTCTGTGGTTGCCCAGTGCCCCGGAAGCAGCTTTTATGCTGCATTTAATCGGGTCATCATTCTCCAAGCCAGTGTGTGTCTTAAGCTGCCTGTTTTCTTCTCTTTTGAAGGAAGTCTGGCCTGATCGATTGGTGCTTCATGACCCTGAAGGTTCTTCATAAGGGTCCCACTTTTGTGTCTAATGCAGCAGGCTCTGTGTCCTGAGCACTGTGTGGGTGAGGGGTGACTGAGACCAGGTCGTCTCCTGGTAACAGGCCTCTTTAACGTTCTGTCAGCAGATGCGTTCTGAAAGAAGGGACGATTCACTTAGGGTTTTATCACCAGTGTCTCTGGTATTTAAATGAAATAAATTAAGTTAATGGGAAGCTCTTTTATAGCCTGTCATGGAAAAAGTACATAATTTGTGCCACAATTTGCAATGAACTAGCACTGACCAGCATTTATTCCGTCATATTCTCATAAAGCTTCAACTGAAACTGGGTTTGACATGAGAAGGTGGCAGCTGAGGGACAGGAACTCAGTGGTGTACGTGAGGGGCTGTGTGAAGCAGGTGTGGGTCCTGAAGTGTGCCAAGGGTCTGTAGAGTGTCCTGCACAAAGGACAGCCAGTGGGAGGCAGGCAGCTGCTTCTCTGCAGTGGAGGAGGGGCAAGTCCCCACCTTATGCCTAACGCTTCCTTCCCAGATGACCCCTCCAGAGGCCCTGGTTCCCCTTCCTGGTCGAGGTTCTTTGGTGTGTGTGCGTGCGTGCGTGCGTGCGTACAGAAGTGTGATTGGCTACCACTAGCCCTGTTCTGTGTCCTGCCGTTAGGTGGTTCTTTCAGCCACTGTGGGGCTGAGCAGGTAGGATGCTGGAGGCCAGGGGGAGGGCTGGTGACGGCTTGTAGGCAAAGCTGCAGTGGGCCTGGAAGTGTGTGCTTGGTCAGAGGAGCACAGGGACTTGGCACCCTCCATCTGCCATGCTGGCTTTAGGCTCCAGTTTGGCCTCAGCCAGCTCTTTCCTCTTAGATTGTGTCAGCAGGACCAGGAAGGCACTGTAGGTGGTGGCTGTACTCTCTCCATGCAATCTTTGAACTTCTGTGCTCCTGACAGTTAAAGACCCCAAGAGTCTGGGTCTTTGTAAGATATAGTAGTATTTATTATATTAGAAATTTAAAAATGACTAATTTCTTTAAAAATTACAATCCATCAATTATATGTTTGTAGTAATATTTTTTATAAAAGTAGCTATTCTTCAGAAATTAGAAGGCTCATATTGTTGACAGCTTCTGCAGATTTGACATCTTAATAGACTCAATTCTCATGTCTGCTTCATTCAGCGTGTTGTGGTGCTGTGTTGGCGGATGTGTCACCAGACAGGAAGTTAATAGAGTCTTTAGCCGGCTTCTGTGGCAGACAGGTAGTACCTCCTTTGTTTTCATTGTCTTCAGTGCTGGGGTTAACCCAGGCTTTGCGCATGCTATGTAGACCAGGCTGGACTCAAATTGAGATCCACCTGCCTCTGCCTCTGCCTCCAAGTACTAGGTGTGGGCCACCATCTGCAGGGGATCGGAGAGGAGCCATAGTGTGAGACTGTGGCTAGGCTGGCACCCTGGCTTCCTTGTCAGTGCAGCACTCATAGCCTTTGACTTCTCATTTAGAAGGTGGACGCCTTTCGGGACAGCCTGGGAGGGCAGGGCTGGCGCTCGTTGGGTTTGAGTGTGTGTGCCTTTGTGGACTGAGGCAAGCTAGCTGCTGTTTCTAGTTTTCTCCTCTGAAAATAGCCAACCGAATAATATCCCCCCCAGCCCTTCCGTCTTCCAGACTGAGGTGGATGGCGCTGAAGGGCCAAAGCCCAGTTGCCGATGCTACCAGGAGGTGCTAAGCCCACACTGACCCTGCAGCATCCCCGCCTCTGTGAACTTAGGTTTCAGGGAAGGTCACGGCTTGAGGCTTATTGAAGCTGTACAGCAAAGAGCAGGTCAGCCCTCTTGTGACAAGGTTTGGTCTGGGTCATCTGGGAAATAGCTCCAAGGACGCCAGGCAGGGTAGCAGACTAAGTACAGCAGAGCACCTGGCCAGCAGGCTCCTGCGGTGAGTTTTCTCTCAGTTCTGGCTGTGGGGTGGAGCAGGGACTGGAATTGTTTTTTCCTGATGTAGGAAATCCAGCTTATAAGCCATCTCCAGAATTCTATTGGCAAAATCATATTTCAAGCCTTACTTTGATGAGCTGCGTGGGAAATGGGGTGTAGAACAGCGAAAACCATCCCGAATGGTTTTGAGTTATTCTGTTTTCCTTCTCAAGAAGATCATTTGGCAATGTTTTCCTGAGAAAAATAGGCCTTTGGTGTTTCTTCCATTTCATGTCTTCAGTAAGGGCTCAGTCAGGGTAGGATGGCTTTGTGGGAGTGCCTGGGCATGGTTAGCAGGGCTCTGGCACCCAAGTCCTAACACAGCCCGAGTTCAGTTGGGACCTGCTGTCAGGACTGGGGGAAGGCTGTCCTTCCTCAGGGTCCAGATGGCAGAACTGGAAAGTGGCTCTACTCCAGTGTATTAGCGTGACAAATGACTCGGGTGACCACGTTCTGACTCTCCTAATGAAATATTTTCTTTCTCAGTGATGTTACAGCCTTTCGATTATGATCCCAATGAGAAAAGTAAACACAAGTTTATGGTTCAGTCTATGTTCGCTCCACCTGACACTTCTGATATGGAGGCAGTAGTAAGTACGAAAGCTTCTTCTCCTCTGCAGTCTGCTAGGCAGACGTGGCGGGTGCATGCCTTTCCACTCTTGATGGGGAGTGTGCTGCTAGGGAGGTGTACGCTCTGGTCCCTGGATGGCTTCCCCTACTTTGACGAGTAGCTTTAACATTTCCATGGCTGTTCTTTTCTGACTCAATGAACTGAACTTGCTGCAATTCTCTGCTCCCATGGACCCTTCCTCCCTCTCTCCTGCACTGCAGGGAAGTGCTTCCCCGTTGCTAGGATGTTTCTGACCTGTCTCCAGCCCCTCAAACCCGGAAGGTTGTACTTGTGTTGAATACTAAACGCCTCCTTCCCACTGACATTCCTCTGCATTGCTTTGCTCTTTTTGCTTGTCTTCTGGTCCACACAGTTCTTCGGGTTCTTTCCTGAGGATTGAACTCTGATCTTGAAGCTCACTAAGCAGCTGCTCTGTCTCTGAGCTACAACAGCCTGCTCCATACCCACAGCCTGATTCACACCACAGCCTGCTCCACACCACAGCCTGCTCCACACCACAGCCTGCTCCACAACACAGCCTGATTCACACCACAGCCTGCTCCACACCACAGCCTGCTCTACACCACAGCCTGCTCCACACCACAGCCTGCTCTATACCACAGCCTACTCCACACCCGCAGCCTGCTTCCCACCACACCCTGCTTCCCACCCGCAGCCTGCTCCACACCACAGCCTGCTCCACACCCACAGCCTGCTTCCCACCACACCCTGCTTCCCACCCGCAGCCTGCTTCCCACCACACCCTTATTCACACCCGCAGCTTGCTTCCCACCACAGCCTGCTCCACACCCACAGCCTGCTTCATACCACAGCCTGCTCTACAGCACAGCCTGCTCCACACCACAGCCTGCTTCCCACCACACCGATTCACACCCGCAGCCTGCTTCCCACCACACCCTGCTTCCCACCTGCAGCCTGCTTCCCACCACACCCTGATTCACACCCGCAGCCTGCTCCACACCACAGCCTGCTCCACACCCACAACCTGCTTCACACCACAGCCTGCTCTACAGGACAGCCTGCTCTACACCACAGCCTGTTCCACAC